TCAATAAATCGGGTAAAAGGTCTGTCATTTTAAGAAAAAGCATTTGCTTAGTTTTTATTGATAAGGCCCAATATCTCTGTTTTCTAGCATGGAACGTCACCCAGTAGCTAAAGCTGACATCGGGTCCTTACAAATGCCCAAGATGAAGGAAGCAATGATGCTAGGTAAGGGTATTAGTTTAATTTATCATCTATTATTTCTTATAAGAAATTAATTTATTCACAGCAAAACGCGGTTTCACATAAAGGCCCTTTTCAGGGCCGCCAACAAATAAAAAAAGAGATTATAAAAGTTTTTCCAAAGGCCCTTTTCAGGGCCGTAAACAAATAAAAAAAGAGATTATAAAAGTTTTTCCAAAGGCCCTTTTCAGGGCCGCAAACAAATAATCAAAGAGATTGCAAATGTATTTCCAAAAAACCCTTTTTAGGTTCGCAAATCAAATTAACAGGGATTAAAAATGTTATAATAATTCTAAAATATGGTTTTCAGTGACACAAAACAAATTAACCAGTAAATTATAATTTGAACAAGTCCTGCAGCAACAATAATCACAGTCCCAATTATTTTTTGAGAATTTTTCATTTCTCACACGCTCGGTGTCCATCACGTCCTTCACACTGCCTAGCAGGTGATTTTGATACCCTTAATTATTTTTTCAGACAATATGCATATTCGCATGCGTTGAACCGAGCAGTTAATAATCTAAATAAAGTAAAAACTACTTAAGGTTTTGTAAGTTAAAGCACATATTATATTACTTTATTTTAGTCGGATCCTTCAATACTGAATGCGAGCTACGGCACCTTCATCATTCATGCCACCATTGTTGTACTTACATTCTTCCACTCCACTGAAAATTGCCAGCTTGTGCTTATACATAAGAAGCCATGCTTTCCTGCGGCCAATCAACGCCTCACAACGACGTGTTTATTACTACATGTAGCGAGAATTATTAATTAGGAAGTGATTCCCATAAGCCTCAAGTTGGGCCACGCCAAGAAGAATTTATGAAAATGATGTCTTCCTCGCAAGCGCTGCGCTTTAATAACATGTTAACGCCACTCATATATTTGTTAATATCTATACATATAATACAATTGTAACAGGTCGATGTCTGTACATTATAGATATTAAAGAAAAATTAATGTGGGGGGTCTTTTTTTAGAGCACCAGAAGCCAAATCAACCATTTTTAGAATTTTTGTCTGTCTGTCTGTCTGTCTGTCGGTCTGTCTGTCTGTCTGTCTGTCTGTCTGTATGTTTGTTCGCGCATCACTCGAAAACGAATGCATGGATTTGAATGCAGTTTCCACCGATGTATTGCTAGAGGTCTAACTTAAAATTTAGGAAGAAAAAAAATTAGAGAGTTGCCACCTGTTTGAAAATTGGAGTTTAAGTAAATTGATAAGAAAAAATGAATATTGCAATATGGGCGTCAAAAGAAAGAGAATGAAGAAGGCTTACAGCCAAAAATATTTTTTTAGAGTTGCCACCTGTTTAAAAATTTACATTAAATTTAATTTATAAGATAAGTTGAATATTGCAATATGGGTATCAAACTGAAAGGGTTTAGGAAATTATATTGCCGAAAATATTTTTAGGGGGAGCTGCCACCTGTTTGAGAAATTGTATTGTATTAAATTGATAAAATAAATGAAATCTATATCTACATCTATAAATCTATACATATAATAAAATTGTAACAGGTCGATGTCTGTACATTATAGATATTAAAGAAAAATTAATGTGAGGGGGGTCTTTATTAGAGCACCAGAAGCCAAATCAACCATTTTTAGATTTTTTGTCTGTCTGTCTGTTTGTCTGTCTGTATGTTTGTTCGCGCATCACTCGAAAACGAATGCATGGATTTGAATGCAGTTTTCACCGATGTATTGCTAGAGGTCTAACTTAAAATATAGGAAGAAAAAAATTAGAGAGTTGCCACCTGTTTGAAAATTGGAGTTTAAGTAAATTGATAAGAAAAAATGAATATTGCAATATGGG